TAATGTATGAAAAAAGTCCTAAAATAGGCCATTCATTGAAGGTGCGCCTTATAGTGCGGAAAATACGGTACTTCCTATGAACGTCTTTGTTGTTTCCACCAGTAGTAACATTCAGCTGTTGATCATATGACTTGTGTGAAGTGAATAAAATGTTTCCACTGCAGTTCTGTGTCGATACAGCTGAAAAACCACCTCATCCTCATTTTGTGATTTTAATTCATGCAATTGACTGACAGGCTGCACATTTGCTGGAACTCACCACTGTCATTGCTCTTATCAGAGAAGGCTGACTTGGAGGAGAAGATGCTGGGTTTCTCCTTCTTCTTGGCTGCAGGTGCGGGCCTTCACAGGAGGAGAAACGGTTAGCTGGCAGGATTTACCGGGGCAGGAAAGAGTCATCCGTCAGCGGATGACTTCTAAACCTTACATGGGCTTCTTTATGGGTGAAGAGAAGGAGTCTTCGTTGTTCTCCTCTTCATCGTCTTCGTTTTGGTCGCTATCACGGTCCTTGTTGTCTGAGAAGCCGAAGTCGTCTCTGACTGACCTCACCGGGGACGAGGCCACGTCGTCGTCTCCGTTCTCCTCCTCGTCCGCCTCTTCATCCTCGGAGAAGTCAAACGTGTATTTTGGCTTGGAAGCTGGAGGATGAAAGCAGAATCCATGTCAAAGCATATTACGGTTGCCATGGATTCCAGTGGTTGCGCTCTGATTATTTCAGTTGCATTTGGGTTGCATCAGACAGCCGGAGCCGACAAAAGCTAATGGCTTCTTTTTTGGCCGGTGGCAGTTTGAAAGCAAAGTGCTCACTGGGAATTAAGATCAAACGCTACCACTCATGATAACAAAGTTGGCCGATGTTGACTGGAGGTGCAACACAGGAGCTCTCATGTGTTACGATGACAGAATACACAAGCGGAGCCAGCTTTGGAGCTAAAACACACGGAGGACACACACCATGTGGCCGTCCAGCTGTCACTGGACAGTCTGTTAGAAATGTGTGAAAAACAAAAGATGCATAATGTGCTGCCAGATACAGGAAACCTTTCAGCCAGAGACTCAATATACCACAGTAACATGGGAGCCACAGGAGATCATTCCTGCCTGCAGCCATCAGACTTTACAACAGCCAACTCTGCCTTTATGTTTAAGTTTACAGATTCATATTTCCATGCACATATTTGTTCTTAATTTATTTATCCCTTCTCAAGACCCATCTTTATGAAATTGCTTTTATTGTCTATTTTTTCTGGTTGCCTGCAGTTGCTGTTCTTGTTATTTTTAATCTTTATAACTGAACAGTATCTTAATTTCATAAAAAGTGTTTCATAAATAAAATGTATTATTATAATCATTTAATTTATTCTATATTTAGATCATATTTAAATTACTTGTAATTTCACACTTGTGTTATCACTTTTTTATGACTAACCATTCATTTATATTTGCCAATATAAATATGGATGTATGTAGTTTTTGAACAAATAAATTTCCTGTTAGGGATCAATAAAGTATATTGCAGCTCTGAAAACATTTTCAATATTCTGCTAATGTTGAAAAAAGATGAGTTTACAATTGCAGTGTTTCAATTCAAAAGAAATGAAATAAAATGAATGAGTCTGTTTACACAGTAAATCATGAAAATGATGGCTGCAATGGATGCAAACACTAACATGAGATATATTAATTGGAGACATCAACGTCTTATTCAGGCTCATTCATGAACTCTTTTCAAAATTGCTGTGTTTCTATTGAATGAATGTATTTTTGTAATTCCTATTTACGCTACTTTAAGCTAACTGGCTACTGTTACTGTTGTTTTATTGAGATTTTATGCAATACTTCTTTATTTTGAAATGGAAGGGAAACAATGAATCAGACCAGGTGCTATGTTCAGGTGCAGCTCTCTGTGGCGTGGTTTACCTGTGGCCCTCTGAGACTTGGTCTCTCTGGGAATGACGGGTTCGTTGTCCTCCAGGTCGCTGTCTGACTTGGACTCATCATCAGACCAGGGGTTTCTCTTCTTCACCTTCTTAGCTGAAGCTCCTTTTGGAGTTGGAGGCTTCCTCACTCTGGGAGCTCCTGAGCAACAGGAAACAGGAAGTGGAGTCAGAGCTCTTCCTTCAGACAGGAAGGATGTCATGTGGCGCTCTGGTTCTGACCTGGCTCCTTCTTCTCCTTCTTGACTCGTGGAGCTTTGGGTTTGGCTACAGCGTTCTCTCCAGTTACTCCGTCGCCGTCATCTTCAAACTCCAACTTCACAGCTGCATCAGAGTCGCCCTGACAACAAAACAGTCTGTGACCATTCTGGACGGCAGATGTTTTTACGTCTGCATGTCCACAGACAACCCCAGTGTCATTACCTTTTTCTTCTTGGTCAACTTCTTGGCAGCATCAGACTTGATTGGCTGAGTAGGCGGGTCCACCCTGCGGCCGAACGGGGAGGGCAGCGTCTCCTCCAGGTTCATCTTCTTCACTTTGGGCTTCCCCACTTTGCCCTTCACCAGCTTGATGGCCTTCCCTGCGTTCTGCTCCTCTCTCTCCTGGCTCTCAACATTCTGCCCAGGGAAAAACAGAAAATAATTAGCACAACTGTTATTAACACAACAGACAAGTTACAATTTTTACCTACAGGCATTAAAAGCAGAAATAAAATGGCGGTTCTTTAAAAATTATCACAAATTTCCTATCATAGATGTTTATTACAAATATTCAAGTTGTCTTTTCACAAAAAGTTATGTAACACTTGCAGCTCTAAACCAGTGTTATTTAGCTTCTAACAGGCATGTGAAACTTATTGAGTCAGTGCTCCCCCTGCTGGTCACAAGCTAAATCAGCTAAAGAAACATCAAAGATAATGGAGCTTAAAAACAGATTACTGATACACAATGAAAATCAACAAAGGCACGGATTTAACTGTTTGTGTTTAAGAATTATTTAAAAAAAAGGTCAGAAGACAAGACTTACATCGAGTTCTTCGATGAAGACGGCCAAGTCCTCCTTCCATAGATCCTCAGAGTTTTTCCTTTGCAGATCATTCAGTTCACTTCTCTGCACAAGCACACACACCACACCCAAACTCTGATCAGCTAATCAGTAAGAGATTAAGATTTCTCTTTGAAACCAAATATATTTAATAAAAGGCCGTTACAGTTAATGACTAACAACTAACAAAAACTAAAAGTAAAAGAAAAACATTTGTTACTACCAGAAACAAGTCAAGTTTCTGGTAGTTGTTTTTCTTTTAATCTTGCTGTCCCACATTGTGCCAGCAGATGGCAGTATATAAATCATGTAATCCATGTTGCTGTTGATCCATCCACATCTAGTGTCATGTCAGCACGTTGGGAGAAAGTGTCAGAGTCCAATTTGGGATTAGTGTGAATATAAATGTTTAGATAAAAACAAGATCAAGTATGAGGGACTTTATTAAAGGGGAAAATCCCACCAACCTTAAAATTCCTCATTAAAAACTCTAAAGAGCCTGGCTGCTGTTGGGTTTTCCCAAGTTTTGAAAGATCCTTTGCTGGATGTTTTTTGTGACTAACATGGTTGTTCATTTGTCCTAAATTAACAAGTCTTAAACTTTGTTATGGTTTGTGATTTATTTATTTTTGGTTCAGTCTTTCCCTTGGTATCTAACTTGGAATGTCAGAAACTTTTTGCAGTTTCTGACATTCACTGCAAAAAGTGAATGTCAGAAACAAGTGAAATCTGAACTAAACTAGCAAACAAAGGGTTAAAGAGTAATGAAAAGAAAACTGAATTGAAAACGATGTCAAAAATAAATATGTTTGAAACTAAGAAAAAAACTGTAGACCTAATAAAACCATAAAGTCATAACTAATCTGATGAAAAGACAGATGAGCTGACAGAGGAAAACGAGGAGGAGAAGTAGTACCTTGTGGTCCCTCTGCTTGAGCAGCTCATCCACCTTCTCCTTAGTCAGGCACCACAGAGGCATGTTGAGAATGTAGTTGAAGTTGGGACCTGAAGTGGAGCTGGAATCCACCGAGCTGTCGCTCTCATTCCCATCAGGAGCGTCTTCTTCCTGAGCCTATCAGAGAAGTCCAGCATTCCATCATCTAGCACCTCAATCATCTGGTTTACTACCTCTCTAGAGGAACGAGTCACTCTAGAGCTCTGCTGTACCTTCTCTTGAGCTTTGGACCAAGCAGCAACAGGATCTGACTCGTAACCTTTCTGCACCAGCATTCGGATGAGTTCACGCTTGGATTTATTTTCTGTTGAGAAAAAAAAAGAAATGGAATCAGCTCCTTTCAGAAAACTGAGTTCTAACTGAGTCAACAGTCCCTAGCTCACCAATGGAGATTTTCCCTTCGATTTTCTCCAGCACAAAGCGAGCCTGGTTGGAGAGTTTGGAGGCCTCGGCCCCCAGGCTGCCTAGCAACCAGTCCTTCCTCAGTTTGTAGTAGTGCAGGCGGAGCTCAAAGAACTCTTTGAGGATGTCTTGGACTGAATCATACCTCTTTAGACAGCCCATGTGGTCAAACAGCACCTAGAAGTACCAACATCATTACAGTGTTGGGCATCATGTGACATCAGGATCATAAAGCAGGAAACTGTCTGTGAAAGGCAGGGATGCTGTGGTTACCATGGAGTTACAGGTAAGGCTGGACTGCAGCTTGAAGACCTTGTGGAGGCCGACAGCCTCGGCCTGGGCCAGCTTTTCCTCAGACATGCGCACCACAAACTTCACCGTGGAGTCTGTGTGATACTCCTTATAGTCAGAGATGAGAGCTGGAGTCTTGTCAGTCCCTTGCAGCATGGGCTCCAGCACAGATTCCTTATAGGCCTGAACACATCACAGACGGGCCACAATCACTGGGAGGAACACGTCAATCACACACCACCAACTAAACACACAGCAGCCACCATGCAAGCCTAGCCACTCTGTTACCCACCCGTCAAATGACACACAGAGACAAAAACACTTCCTGGTTCAGGAACATGAGCTAAAGGAAGCCTGGCTGTACCTGAGTCCAGGTCCGGACGGGAAGCTCTGTGATTTCGATGGTGTTTTTGTCGATGACAGACACTTCTCCACTGACCAGGTACTGGTTGTGGCCCAGTTCATGGATCAGCCCTTTGAAGTTTTTGTAACTGGGAAGCTGGTTTCACAACACAACAAGCAAACATACAAGTATTAGTCTGGGAACAGCTGATGAAGAAATGGTCTTTCTTTGGAGCTGCACTGAACTGGCCGAGCACTGATTTTTAAAAAGTCTCATCCGTTGATATTGATTTTGGCCAAAACCATCTTTTTCATAACTGACGGTGTCAGAGGGGTGTGAAGTGCCAGTAAGTTGACAACAGTGGATGACTGGTGTTAACCGTAACCTGGTGGGGGGTCAGTCAGTCAGCCCTCTCTCACAGCAGAGCTGATTTACAGAAAAGATTGGCTTCAAATCTAAGAATCAGTTGGTCACTGGTCACACAAAATGTTAAAAATAAGGCCCAATCGATCAGTGCAACCCTAGTAGCAATGTTTCCTGACAGAACCAGAAAGAAAAAAATTACTGACAATATGTTGCCTGTTTCCTAGGATACACTGTAGTTACCTGGTTTTTTCCAGAGCGTTTGACTTACATTTGTTTCAGAAAAAATACAAATATCTTGACGAAAATATACAACAAAAAATAAAATACATAAATATTTGGTACTGTCAAGAACCATATTAACAATTTCCACATTACTACTAATGTTTAAAATAACATCCCATGACTAATGGACTTGGAGATCCTATAAATCCTAAGATATCTTCTTGAGTGTTGGTTGCTGCCATTTTTTTAAATCTTTTCTGCAAATAATCAGCTTGTTGTGTCATTAAATGCTCAATATAGTTTATCTGTTTGACCTGAACTGCTTTGATTGATAGGAGTCACATTTGAAGTTTCATTGGTCAAAGTCCACTGGTTTCTCTTAAAAAAAAAAAAAACAGTAATAGTTTCTTTCTGTCTGTTGTGTTTAGTTTTACCATGGGTAAGGGGTCCTGGTGGTTGAGCATCCTGTTGATGTTGTTAACGATCTCTCTGGGGTCGTAGTTTGGGATCTTGCAGGCCCAGCCTGTCCCGATGCCCTCAGCTCCGTTCACCAGCACCATGGGGATGATGGGAATGTACCACTCTGGCTCCACCTTCTGGTTGTCATCGTACAGGAACTTGAGCAGATTGAAATCCACCGCTGGGAACAACAGCTTGGCCAGGGGGCTGGAGGGAGAAAAGACCATTAGGAAACCAGGAAGAACAGGAACATGTCTAGTCTCTTTCTGGGTGTGGAGAAAACTCAAAACTCATTTAATAACCTATTTCAATAAAATACCGAGTGACTAAAGTCATGAATCCAGCCAGCCTCAGTGACTCAATCAGTCTGAAGGCTGTGACTAAACAAAGATACACACTACTGCTGCTCCATATTAAGAAATCATGGAATGGCAATATTATTGTGAAATATTATATTAATATTGCATGAATGTAATTCTGCATCTACTGATTTCACACCTGTCATTCCAACACATCCAACCCTCTCTGATCTAGTGCAGACAGAACATATTACTGTTGTAATATTGTAACCAATAAATCCTGCGTTGCAGTCAGTCATTATGCTGTAATGGAATATTTATGGCATGTTGTATCATAAATCACAACCAGGTAACTGTTTGTGATGGATCTTTAATAAACAAACAGGACATAAAAAAGACCAGAATTACTGCCTTACCTGAGCATGGTGAAGATGTAACGGGGGCTGGCAGCATCTTTGCCTCCATTAATGCGAGTACCAAACTGACCCAGAGGCTGCAGGATGTTCACGTTGTTGCTGCCCACAAAGTTCTGGGCTAAGTTCACAATGGTCATCATGAGAGCTTGCTGCAAGGCAGACGGGAAGTAGAAGCTGACTTACTGAGCACCACTACAGACTACAGGCTAGTCATGACTCCTGGCTCATGCTCATGTTTCAGTGAATAGAAAGAGTCAAGAGCTGCAGTGATGCACAGCTAAAGTAAGAGTCGTGAACTCCAAAACTCTTGTCGTTAAGGACGAAAAATGTTAAAGAAGGTAAGGTAAGGCAAGAGAAGTATGCAGCATCAGAAACATGGAAGACAGTTCTCCCACTCTGCTCACCATCTTTTTACTTCATAGTTATGCTTTAAAATCCCAATAAAATACACTGAAGTTTGTTGTGAAGCAGGTTATGCTTCACAACATAACCTTGCTTATTCCATGAGTTGCCTCTACCTCTCCATGATGGTAGGCAGACATCTCAGCCACAGAACCAGCCAGCTGGGCCACCTTCACTTCTCTCTTGTCATTCCTCTTCAAGCAAGTGAACAGAACCTTCCTCTGACCCGGTTTCAAGCCTAAAACAACACACACGTCCAGCTCATCACACATAATCCTAACATCGTGTTAAAGCTCAGAGGCAGAACGCTGACGAACCGTCGACCAGGGATGGGATGGACCGCTCATTGTCTGAGTTGGAAAACAGAATCAGCTCCTTGTTGATGAAGTCATTGTACGACAGATGTTTGGCCTGAGTTCCATAAAGGTATTGCTGAAAAAGAGAATTATTGTTACATCCAGTTTGTTTTTTTTTACTGAGTCTGAGTGTGTGTAGCTCATAGAGCAGCTGAATGACGATGCCAACCTCCGGCAGGCCGTGCATCCTCCTCTGCCGTCTGTCCTCCATGAAGTTGGTCAGCCACTCCTTCCTGTCATCCGTCTTCTTCTTACTGAAGGCCTGGACACACACAGTCATTGTTAGCTAGCTCTCACCAACAACACCTGTTGGATTTTTAACTAGAGATACACCCATCTGATATCAACATGTGGATCGATCCAGATGGTGAAAAACACTCTAGATCAGGTGTTAGTCACAATATGCTTTGTAAATGAGGGCAGATCTATTCAGTCTAATTCTATGCTTTATGCTCTGGGTGATGTCATGCTTTATTATTTATCTTATAGTAGATTTAGACTTTCTAATTGCATTTTCTGAACCATTTGAAAGAAGGTTTGGTGTAGTTTATTTTTACGTTTGACCAAAGTAGTATTAATTTAATTTTCCATTGGCTGTTATGCTCCCAATTCCACTGACTGAACAAATTAAAGACGTTTTCACATGTTTGACCAAGCTTGTGAAGTTATTGGTGGATTTAAGTGTTCTGTCCTGGTGCAGCACACCAGGACAGCAGTAAACATACCGACTTAAATTTGTAAGTCGGTATGTTTATGTCTGTGTTAAAAAAATTTTATGTTTTAAGTCAATTCAGACTTACAAATTGATTTGATAACTCTGCAGTATACCACACTTAAATCCACCAGTAGCTTAAAATATGTAAAAACAGAAACTTTAATTTGGTCAGTCAGTGGAATTAGGAGTAGAGTTTTAAGTCAATTCAGCTGTTTTTCTGTTCTAGACCAGTTCTAGACCTCAGATATCTGTATCAGTATTGGAAGTGAAAAGTGGGTGGGTCAGTGCCTCCCTAGTTTTTATCAGCCTTGTTATTCTTTGCACAGCAGCGGCAGCAGCAGACAGTCAGGTTAAACCTACCAGAGTGATGGCAGCGTCGTCCTCAGCACCGTTGTATCTGAAGGTGATTCGATGCCTCTCCATGTCTGCAAAGTATTCCTTTGCCTCTTTGCTTGTACTTGTTCCCAAACCTGAAACATGGGTTGGATTATCAAATTAAAACGTAATCAAACAAGATTGTTTGCTTGGGTACTGAGTTAAAGGTAACAAACCTTTGTAGTACTTTATATGCCAGGTTTTAAAATTCTCTGTTTGTTTCTTCCACTCTTCAAACTCTGGGAGGCTGTAGAAGGCCAGCTCCTGTTTGTTTTTGGTCG